CGTAACTGAAAAGCTTTTCTTAATTGGGAATTCATCCACAATTTATCACGAGGTCTTATATAAACTGTTTTTTTTAGGTATTCATTCTTTAGCAAGTTTCAAAAATTGTTCAGTAAATTCAACACATGCTACATTAACAGAAATAAAGTTTTGAAAAAATGTAGGCCACTCAAAAGTATATATTAAAAAAAATAACCTATTAAAATCAGCATGTTTATAGGCCCAAATTTCTCGAGTGTAGGTACAAGAGAGATTAACAGGTATAGACAAAAAATGAAATACATGCATCATGATCACTTATATTACGATCAATCGGAATTACATACGAATCAGTACATTTGGTAGGGTCAGTTAATAAAATAGGATCAAGTAAACTAGTTCTGGTTGTTCCACGCCTAGTCGGCTCATTAATAACGTTAGTTAAGTCCATTTCCAACATGACTTGGTGTAAAATATGATTACGTGATAACGTTAGCATATCTACATTTATATCACCAACAATAATAACCTTCAACGTAATTTCTAAAGCTTTTTCAATCGAATACTTAAAATTCTCCCAAAATGGGTGACGTGAATTTTCTGGTCTATAAACGGTACATATTAATACACTATTGTGACCTAATTCTACCTGTATCCAAATTATTTCTCCATCCAGAAATTCGAGATCATTCCTCCGGACACATTTTAAGGAAACAGAATAATATACTAAAATACCACCACCGGAGAAATTTCTGTCTTTTCTAAATGGTTCCACAAAACCCGGTAGAACTAGTTCAGAAGTAGGTACATACTCATCCAAATGCGTTTCAGTCATACATAAAATATTGAATTCATTTGTAATATTTTCAATATATTTTAATTTATTCCTTATACTTCTAACATTCAAATGAAATAGAGCTAATTCATTTACTGATGGACCTGGATTAGTTTCTACATCCATGTCCAATATAAGTAATAATAACAAAATATGGCAAAAATGTATGTTTTGAAACTGTGACTGTAAGCACATCAACATGAAAGATGCTACGCTTGCTTTAACACTAGATATAAAAAGAGTTTTGTAAAATATGTGTTATTTCGATATATAATCAGTATTTATGTGTATTACACTACGTATTTTTTTTAAAACATGATCCTCCATAAGCTATATTATAGAAGCAACCGATTGAAATCCTGTGCGATATTGCTGACATATCACCGATGAACCATTATCAAAAAACAGCATATTGCACAGGATTCCCCCCGGGAGCGTCTAAAGAAAACATACATGTAACAACTGTCAAAGAAAAGAACTTCTTTGTATGTACGCATGAATGACTGCACGTGCCAAGTAGTCGATCTAAGGTCACGATAGGGTAAACAGAGAGGAAGTTGACAGGGGAGATAACAGAGAAGTAGTAGAAAGAAGAATTTAAAGAGTAAATATGGCTGATGATTCAGCAGCGGTTTCATGGTTTTAGCAATACAAAAATACGAAATAATGGGATTTATCAATGACGATATGTATTATTGTACAATATTCACATTACCAGTGTCGATGTGTTCATTATTCGCATGCAACTTATCAACTATAACAAACATGAAACACACACATGCATGTATATATAACAACATATTTACAACCCATAGTATTGAAAGACTCATGCATGAATGTGAAGAAACACAAATAATTCATTTTACAAATACACACACACGTACACCTATTTATACATACACTGTGTAAGTTAGTTATTTTCAAGTCTGATTCCTTTCAGTAAGGAGTAAGTACATGGACATACACGAATATACCCATACATATATATATATACAAACATGCTTGCATGCATACATACATACATACATACATACATACATACATACATACATACATACATACATACATACACAGCATGCATGTAATATTTAATTTGTTGTGCATACAAGTAAACGTTCACATATATTATATTATATATAGTATTTAAATACTCGTGCATGTATATGAAATTAAATTAAATTAAATATCTCATAAATACATGTATATAACAGCATACATGCATTTTATAACATCATAGATATATACTTAAGCATTGAACTGTTTTTGTATGGTATTTATGATCTATCTGAATGACACAGCTTTGCAAGCAATCAACATAATGCGCGCTTGATCATAAATATCATACAAAAACAGTTTAATACTTAAATTTACGTTTTCTCTGCCTCTTATGTTCCTTTTTAACTTATAATTCATATTTAAACATAAAAATGCCCGCCTTATCGACAGTCCACACAACTTCGTTCAATAGTTTGAACAGCGTATTGTCGCGTGCTGATTGGCAAACAAAGTAGGACTTTGAAATTTTAACAAACACTTCAATTTTATTCCACAATTCAGTATCAATACAATTGCGTATGATATGTCTATATGGTGATTTAAGTTTATCAATAGAACACTGAGCTGAAAGTTAGATTTGAAATTGTTTCGAGTTTTCCCCGGAACAAATTTCGCGCATGGACAAATACAGTGAACACCGTAAATCCGACCTTGCCCTCCACGATGGAGTTATTTTTGGAAGTTAATTCGAACTTTTCTCTTTGCTCATTTTGTGAAGAATCCAGGCGTGAGTGTATTTATTGATTGTTCAGGAACCTGACAACAGTCGGTAGATTCTATAACATCCTCGTTATTTGACATGTCGTCAGAAACTGAGGAATGGTGGATACGAGACGCGTGAAACTGATACAGTAGCGTTTGAAGTGAGTGATCTTGCGACGCAGCACAGGTTCGCTACAAATGTCTGAAATGTTTGTGTGGTGTGACTCATATCAGTAGGTCTGTAACATATGTGTCAGTAGGTCTATAGAATATGTGTATTTCAGACATTTGTAACGAACCCCTGTTGATCAGTAGTCTACAGTGTAACAGACGATATTTCTGATAACCGATGTGCATTTTGTCAGAGACGTATAATACAGAGATTGGCAACTTGCTCTTGGTCTTACCATTGGTCACTGGTAACCGGATGTCATATCGCGAGTTACGCTTCACCTGCGCCATATTGGATATACGGTTCGCTGCATTAAATAATCCTTTTAATTTCTGTTCAAAACATAATTATGCCATGAGAAAACATCCAAAATCAACGTAATATTAAACCCGTAGCTAGCTGAGATTTCCATGCGGTTTGGGAGTGCTACATTGAATGTAAACTTAAATTATTAAGTTTAGAAAACACCAAACATCGAAAGATTGCACATCGTGGCTGTGTTTACATATCGGTAATGATTCTGGCTTCAGGAGAACACGAACTTCGTTTTTGTTCATTAGAAAATTTCAAAAAAGTTTTCAGAAATTAATTATTGGATAATATTTCTAACCAGGAAATTAAAATGAGGTTGTTACAATACTTGCAAAGTTTCATAATTTAGCTATGAACATACAGTTTTTCTGAGTAAACAAGTTAAAATGGCGGCTTGGATGTGTGAGGGTTATTTCTATCATGAAAATTAGAACACGAACTCCGTTTTTGTTCTTTAGACAATTTCAAAAATGTCTTNAGGATTTTTTTCTTTCTTAGCACATTAACACACGAACTCCTTTCTAATTCATTATCTAATTTCAAAAAGATATTCAGATATTTATTCAAACATAAAATTTCTAAACAGCTTTTTCAAATAATGTTTTTACAATACTTGCAAAATTTGATAATTGAGCTCTGAAAAAACGGCGGCTGTGATGTGCGAGGGAATTCCTTTCATGACACAGGCACTCCTCTCTCGTTCGTTAATTTATTTCAAAAACGTATTCAGATATTACATTATATTTCTAACAAGCTTCTGTATATGAGTCATTTATCTAGGATATGTGACATGTTGACGCGAACTAACGAATACACGATCGAATTATCATAGGTATCTCACTGACCAGACTATCGTTACCAGGATCGATAAGCTATCAAAACAAACACTCATGCTGCAACCCAAGTCTCGCAGCGTTTCTCAGGGGTGCGTGTTTTTGCGAGATCTGCGTGAGTTGCCAATCTCCGTATTATACGTCTCTGATTTTGTACGATATTGCAGACATTGGTCTTGTTTTCATTGAAAAAAAAGTGATTTTTTATTTTTATTTTTTTAATTTGCACATAAATCTACAATGCCATTGTCAAATCTCACAATGCCCAGCGATATTTTAGCAGACGTCATGTTTATTTATATTGGATATTGTAGTTCCGGTCAGTGTTGTATTAATACGCTAAGAATTGTGTCTCGTGATGCATGGTAATTAAAGTCCCATCAACGACACAGCTTTCAAAGAGGCTATATAGTGACAATGCCATGCAAATGTAAATATAATAGCATACAAACATACATATAATAGCATACCTACATGCATATAACAAAATAAATACATACATATAACAGCATAAATGCATACATATAATAGCATACATGCATATAATATCATATATACAAATAATAGCATACATATAATAGCACACATACCTACCTACATACATTAGCATACATACATGCATATAATAGCATACACACATATAATAGCCTACCTACACGCATACAAACATACTTTGCATAGCATAGAAAATCATAGCAAAGCATACACTACATACACACATGGCATAGCTTAGCATAGTATGCATGGCATAGCTACATATAAATATAGCCAGGGACAGTATATCACTATACGTCCCTGATATAGCAGAGCATGTTATAGAATAGAATAGCAAAGCATACATGGCACACATAATAAATTATTATAATATATTTAGCATTTTTTTCTAGTTAAATAAGAATTTGCTTATTTACCAGTAACTTAATTCTATTGTTCTCTACCCGACACCAATTCTAACCTACATATGTGTAGCATACACCCAACGCCTTATATGACCTGTAGATCCAAGTACATGTATAACTAGTCAACGACACGGTGTGTTTTACATTTAAAACAACTAACAGTAAAATACCATTCGAAATATCTTTAACTATATAAAGTCCTTATCTAGTACCTTTTCATCTTCAACCTATGACCAACCTCCTTCAACTTCGTGAATATACTTTCAGGTGGTCTGGATAAGGCACCGTATATAAATACAACACGGAAGAGACATTTCCTGGTGATTCGGAATACCCTTTCGTCATTTTCTACCTATGCTCGGTGGCGAGGTGTTCCGAATGATTTCCTGGTAATACCGTTCGGAAATGGGTAGTTTCGGTTTTATTTCTCCATATAGACTAGGCTACATAATAAAACATCTGACAAACTGGCTGTGAAATGCGCCAACAGATTATTAACTTCGAACATGTACAATTAAATAGACAAAATGGACCATTTTGTCTGAGATAATTTATACTTTAGGAATGTTACTGGTGTCGAGAACCAAGTTCCATTTTTACATTACTAGCTAGATGAACATATCTTTGTCGCATGAATAATATTACGAGAGGGATTTGCTTTAAATACTTACAATTATTATTTTATCTCAGTCACTCAGTCAGAAATGGTGTATTAATCTATATTGACGTCTTCATTCTTTCGGTTTTGACATATCCGGTCACGTGATATAACACCAAATATATCCATGGGCACGTATACGTACATAGACTAGATCTATACATGAAGTAACGTCAGACGAACGCTTCAATGTAGTAATATTGTTTACAAGTATGAAAAAATACCAATATTCTTCAAGGCCGTGGTTTAGGCAAACAAAAAGTATGCAAGCGAATGCATTAGCGGTATTATTTAAATCAACTGGATTTTAAATTTGTAATGCACAGATTGTGACTATGTCTGTGTGTGTTACATATCTTTGTAGAATTATTAAGATTGTTTGTAGTGTATCGAGATCAAAGGTTATCTCGTTGTCCCAATGTAGGCATTATCTCATACATTGATAAGATGTAACCCATGAGTTAGCGTACGAAAGGATTCAAGTTTGGACTTGAGTTAGTTATTTACAGTGCGCAGTGCTGGTATAGCTGTATGACCTACAATGTATACACGATCGTCTGACAGGGGCGGGTCCAGGTGCATAAAATCCTGGCCTAGGACTATTGAAATGTTAAGTAACGCCTTATACCCTAGAATTTGGAATTTCTCGTTATTGGTCTACTGCTGTTAAGATCCATCCAATCATTTTAATATACCATAGACAACTAATGGCGAGAATTCGGCATAAAAAATGTCAAACCCTGACACTTTAACTATAAAATATACATGCTCCAAGTCAGGAACAGTTACATTAGTGCATTTCACAATTATTTTATGTGTTTTAGAAAAAAAAAGGTCCAAATTTTTTTTTTTGCCTCGTTCCGCTCGGCCAAAGATTTCATCTTTCAAATATCCTAGAGACGCCCCTGTCTGAGACAGTACGTATAAGGTGTCTGGTGCTGTATACGTAGTCAAATACGAATATTTTTGTTTTATTTATTGAGGCATGAATCACTGTGTAAAATAACAGATCACTCACCTGCATTAAGATCCTATAAATCATTAACGCACCAAGGCTAAGCTGTAATATAAGATCAACAAGTCGTTAAACAGCGAACATTAAAAAAAACTGTTCAAGGGACAATAAGAGGAAGTCTGTAATTAAATATAGCAAACTCTGTATTCATAAATATTATTTAAATTCGGCTATATTCAGTGCATCACTTCTCCTTCAATATGATTTCTGTTGTCACTATATCACTAGTGACTACTAAATTCTGACTATCCTCGTAATATGGTAGTATAACCCAACCATGCTGACTATACTCGTACAATGCTGACTATAAACCAACAATGCTGACTTTTTACTGAAATTCACTTTAATTTACCACGGTTGGGTTATACTCAGCATTGTCGTTTAAAAGTCAGAACGGTTGGATTAAAGTCAGCACGGTCCGATAAAAGTCAGCACGGTCGGATTAAAGTCAGCATAAAGATTTTACCTGTGTTCATTGATCCGCGCGCGAGCTCCACACGGCCAGTGCTAGACAGCAGCAGGGGGTTTCACACCTCCTGTAGGCCGC